TCTTTTTACCAGAAAACCCTAAAAAAAATATTTATATGCTGTGTAATTTTTTCGGTTAGGTTAAATTGGTTAATGTAGACTGGAATAAACGTCTACATATAAGTAGACTTTACTGTAAGTCTACTATACCCTAAATATTGGTGCCAATATGGAAAAATAGGCTCCAAAATTCATTTACACTTCCCGCTTAGTTAATTTTAATTTTAAAATAATTTATTTTGGTAAACACAAATTAACGTAGACTGAAATAGACGTCTACATATAAGTAGACTTCACTGTAAATCTACTATACCCTAAATATTGGCGCCAATATGGAAAATAGGCTCCAAAATTCATTTTCACTTCCCGCTTAGTTAATTTTAATTTTAAAATAATTTATATTGGTAAACACAAATTAACGTAGACTGAAATAGACGTCTACATATAAGTAGACTTAACTATAAGTCTACTATACCCTAAACCAGAAATCTCAAACCCTAAACCCCAAATCTCAAACCCTAAACGTTTGATTGATTATAAAACAAATCTTAGTCATTGTACCAAATATCATATATACAAAATATAAACTACTCAACATGAAATATGCAATTTTGAATCATTAAAACAAAATAATTCTAAATCTAGAATCTAACCCTAAGAATCTAACTCTAAAAGACATAACATGTTAGAACCTTTGGTTGCTAAACCATTAACATTGTCTACCACATAGTTCCAAAATCAATATACATTCTTTTAAATTGTTCAATTATAAGAAAATTTAATTTATCTACCTCATACTAACCTTTAAATTGATGATTTATTAAAAATTCTACCAAAAACATTTTTTCTACATTTTTAAAATTAAATTATTTGATTAAATTAAGATGTAGACTAAATAATAAGTCTACATTAGTTTACACAGTAGACGTTAATGTAAGTCTACCTAGTTGTAGACTTCTTTCTTAAAGTGTAGACCTACGAAGGACAGAATCGTAAAATATATTCCACGTTTTTTGTTTGTTCATAAGGGTTAAATAGTAATTTTAACACCCCTTTAGGTTGGGTTTGCAATTGGTTGAATATGGGGTACACCTTTAGGGTTAAAATGAATATTTGGGTTGGTTTTGGCAATTCCCCCATAAATAGATTCAGAAAGCGAAAATTATTATTAAAAAATTATTCTTTAACAGTTTCTTTTAGGATTTCAAAAGAGAAAACTACTATTACATAATATCTTACAAAAAGAATGGCAACTTTTAAAAATAGAAACATTGCATTGAAAAAAACAAATTTTGTAAACAGCAACTTTTTAAAATAGTTAATATTAACTGAAAAATAATTATTTGATAGTAATTCTATTTTTATAAATCCTACAAAAAAGTATAACTGCAAAAAATTATGTAATATTAATTTTCCTTTTCTAAAATCCTCTAAGAAAAATCGTAAATAATATTTGCTAGTAGTTTTCCTTTTTCTAAAAATCCTAAACAAAAAAATATATTATCATATGTTTTAGGCTGTAGCCAAATCAGAAATGTAAAAAATTATTTAATAATATTTTTTTAAAAAAAATAACTTGATGATGAACATGATACTAATTAATATTTATTTAACTAACAAAATAAAATTATAAAAAAATTGTAGTGATACGAATTTTGTTACTATTACACATGATACTAATTAATATTTATTTAATTAACAACATAAAATTGTAAAAATAGTATGGATACAAATTTTAAAATTATTAATTTTAAGACTATTTAATACTAAACAAAAATAATTATTTGATAATTATCTGAAATTCTAAACAGGAGATAATTGTAAAAGGTAAATAACCTATGAAGTAAGTAACTTGAAAAAAAAGAACAAATAGAAATGAATTTTCTCTTAACTGATGTAAAGATAAATATTTAGTTCATTTTCTTCTTTTATTAAAAAAGTTTATATGTATAATTATGTAATTAATTTGTTTTATGCAGAAAATTATGGTCCTCCAATGAGACCATTAAAAGCGAGAAACAAGACTCCAAAGTATATACCACATATTGAATATTATATATTTGAAATGAAATTTAAAAAAATATTCTTAATTTTTTTTCTTCTTCATGTCTATTACAATATGTACTAATACAAGTTATTTCCGTAAAGAGGTATTCATACAATCGATATTCAGAAACATAATTTTTATCAAACACATATATTTTGTGGCTACAAGAATCAAAGGAGGATAAAATTGCATAAGGTATTAATAATTTCATTAACTAAAAATCTATTATATTAAAACAGAAGTCATGACTCATTTCATGTGTGATTTTGTAGTTTGGACCATCTTAGAAAATTTATAAAATATTACATAACATCATTATAATATATTTTCATATCTTTAATTTTTATTTAAAATAAAAATAAATATTATTTTTAGGAAAATCTAACACAATCTCTTAGAATCTTTTTAGGATATATTTTCAAAATTATTATCATAAAATACAATTAAATTTTTAATTCATTTTTGATTTATAAACAGAAATTAAAATTATGTAAAATACTTTTAATACTATCCCAAAAATTTGTTTATGTATTATGTAGGTCCAACTTAATTTATTTTTTACATATATTTCAAATTTAGAAATAAAACAAAATATATAAATTTGTGATGTTACATAATAATGTTTTAAAAAATTATTACAAAAATACAAATTTTATAAGTTTTATATTAATAATATTATAAGCTGCATAAACATTATTATACATTTAAATCGTATATAACATTAAATTATATTTATTGATATATTTATTATATAATTTAAATATTTTAGTATTCAAATACCCGCACGGTTGTGCGGGTCGAGATCTAGTTAGATGATTAAATGTTGAGCTAAAATATTTTGTATCACCTAAACAACTATGACTATTTCCAGTTCACGTATATATTTATATAAATTTTGTTCTAAAATAGAAATTTTTTATTACAGAGGTTGATTTGCTTCCATATATTATTATTTAACAAAGTTCCTATATTTTTAGAGAAAAATATAGAGATGTGATACTTTTGTTTTTTAATATAGAACTGAGAAAAAAATATTTGTATAGAAATTACATGTATTATATAACTTGATGATGAACATATAACTTGATAATATTTGTATAAAAATCATAATAGAGTAATATAAAATATTAATTATATTCTCATTTTAAATTAAAATTTAATTATGAGAATATATCATTAATAAATAATGAATTAATAAAATTATTTAAAATCAGATAAAAAACTTTTTGATTTCTAGAAAATGCGAAGCAAGTAATTTATAAGAGTCAATTTGCTCAAAATACTAAAAGGTGATGAATACCTTAAGTTTGGGAAGAAATATTGATGATGGAGGGAGCAAAAACTGGGGGAAATAGGGCAGAGAGTGCAAATAGGATATTAGTTGTGGGTAGAGAGTGCAAATTCTCTTTAAATAATAATAAAACATACATAGGAAAAACTACAAATCTAAAACGGAATACCAATTTAGATATTTTCTTCAAGAAAAAAAGTCATAGCATTTAGTCTTAAACTTATTGATTATTGTTTAAGGTTTAGTATTTTGGAGGTAGAATTCAGTTTATAAGGTTATATAAAGTTTTCAAATGATATATATGATACTGAATGATGTACAAAAGTAAATTTGAATTCTTAACTACCTTCAGAATTGTATTTTCTTCAGCCTTATTACAACATATAATAAAATTATTTATTTATTTATTTTCAAAATTTATCATCACAAAAATATACACTTTTTCATGAAACTATAATTTTTTTTAACATCTCATGAAACTATAATAAGAAATTAATTTTTTATATAAATAGTTATTTACATAATTCATATTCATAAATATGGTCTTCAACATGCACATAAATTTTGTGACTTTTAAGATTTATCACCACAAAAATATAGACTTTTCACGAAACTATAATTAAGAAGTTATGTTTTTATAAACAATTATTCACACAATTAAGATTCACAAATATGGTATTCAACATGCACATAAATTATGTAGCTATAAAATGCATCTATGGTCTACATCATGCACACAACTTTTTCTGGTTATAAGATGTATGTATTAATAATTTAATTACATGATAGAAATATGAACCTAAAATAATTTCTTTTGATTGAACTGTTAAAACTCATAGATTATGCAAATCAAAATATATGGATAACAATAAATAAACAGAATTTTTTCAAGCACCCTATAATGGCAATACAAACTTCACTAAACGACCAAGAAACATTAGAATATATTTAAGCGAGAAGAATAACAAATAATAAGTTAATACAAAAATTATTAGTACTTACGAAAGTGTATGATGTTGTCATTGACTTGATTAACCTTATTTAACTTTTAAAATTTTATTTCACTCTAATTTTTATTTCGGATTGAATTCGGTTTAAAATTTTAAAATAAGATTATTTTTCTAATACTAAGTACAAATATTAACTGGAATTTATGTGAAAAATAAGTTCTTAATTCTCAGATATATCTTATATAAATATGCAAAAGGAATGCTAAAACTATAACAAATGATTTATTATTTTTATTTTTTATATAAAATTAAGACATCAAACAAAACATGTGCAACACACGGGTCTATATCTAGTTTATTAATAATTTAGTTATTTGACAAATTCTCCCAAGAATACATACAAGATTTATCTTTTGCTTTTTTTTTTTGTAAAATGCGATTTTTTTTTTTGAAACTCTTAAATGCAATAAATTTTAACGTGTACTATTGTTTTATGTGCTTCTACACCAATAAGAATCGAAAAGAAAGCAAATAGATTGATTGGGCTAACAAGTAAATTGAAATGAAGATAGCCTTATCTAAAGAATCACACTTTCAAGCTCAGAAACTGCCACGTAAGACTCATATCTCCCACTCTCCTCATATGAGATATCAGATATCTTTTGTTTATTCTCATAGACCAAACTCACATTGCAAACCAAACTCGAAAAGATCGAAGAGAAGAGGCAAAGAGATGGCTTCTACCTCCGCCGTGTCATTGTTCATGCCACTTACCCAAAACCGTTTATCGTCGTCGGCAAAACCAATTGCCTTAGTTAAGCCATTGCTTTTGAAGCCATCTAAGGCGTCATCCTCCTCCTTAGCGAGGCCTTCACGGAGCTTTCAAGTGAAAGCATCTAACATGAAGATGGAGAAGGCTGTGAGCGGCTTAGCAGCAGCAGCTCTCACCGTTTCAATGGTGATCCCTGAGGTGGCTGAAGCCGCAGGCTCAGGAGTCTCTCCTTCTCTCAAGAACTTCTTGCTTAGCATTGCTGCGGGAGGAGTGGTGCTCACAGTCATCATCGGTGTGGTTGTTGGTGTCTCCAACTTTGATCCTGTTAAGAGAGGCTAAGGACGAGAGATATCTGTCTGTAATTTTAGTATGGTAATGCTTTGTGAATCCATGTAATCTTTTCACCAATGAACTTTTGCATTCTTCCTCTATCTTATATAATTGACGATTCTCCATTGGTCTCGAGATTATATTTTTCTTATCTCCAGAACTCATAATATATTAGAAATAGTAAGAGAAAATTCGTATCACAAAAGAGAGTCATCCCCATGTAGTAAACCAAACACGCAAAAAAGCTTCTTTAAGTCACTAGGATTTCAGGGTAATATGTTCTTTTGGCGCATGGATGATCACAATATATCAGGCAACGGCGGTCCAATTTTTCCCTTGGGCCCCAGCCAAGCACACTATGATTTTGTACCTTACAACTAACATAGTTTATAAGTAATGATGATATTTTTTTTTACATCAATTAACAAAAACTCATATAGACCATTCGAACCAAAGCGGTAACTTTGTATCCATGTGAATAACGAAAGAAAATTGTTTCCTGGCACTGCGTGCTAGACTGTCCGCCTGTTGTGAATTCAGTGTTCTTGGTACATAGATGATTGTCGAGCTATGGAAACTCTCTTTAAGCGTCTTGATATCTGCCAGATTATTTGCAAAGGCTGGTCATTCTTCAAGTTCCGAAACTATCTTCACCAATTGAGAATAATCTGTTGCAAAAGTCACATGATATTGACGCAAATTCCTCATACTTTCCATTGCCCAAATAAGCTTCTCCACCTCTGCATGAAGAGGTGAAAGACTAGCTCTAATATTCCTTGCCCCCATTAAACCCACAAAACCTTCCAGGGTGCTATACCAACCATGACCATCAAACACATCCTTATCTTTCCATGAACCATCAATAAAGCACCAACGCCCTGGTTGGTCGATATGGTCTCGGCTACCACTGCATGTATTTCGGTTTGAGATAGTCGAAGTTGGGCCTCCTCCCATAGAGTGGATTCTGTCTCCTCCAATATGAGTGTGTCCTTCAGATCAACATCCAAGTTACTAAAAGTTTTGCTATCGCGCACTTTCCAAATGTACCACAATATCCATGCATAATGATGATCATCCACTTTAGGAATAATCCGCCAAAATAAATGGTCTATATTCGTAAACAGAGACCCTGTAGGGAAAGTTACCAGGTTCAAAGGGATCTTTGACAATGCAAAAATTTGTCGTGATGGTGGACATTCAAAGAAAACATGGTTAACCGATTCTTCTGCAGCACCACATCTGTCACAGCATATATCTCCACGTATCCCTCGTGCCTGGAGATTCTTCTTAACAGAAATACAACCCGAGATCAATTTGTAGGGATTCATACCGATTTATAACGATTTATAAATCAATCTATGAATTTAATTTGCCTAGATCTCATGCAAATACTGAACTAAATCTAGATCTTAGGGTTTCGAATATACCTGATTATTTTGCAGCGGAAAGATAAATAAACCAAGTCAAGATTTCTGTAGCACTCCAAATGTTATGCCTCTACCGGTATCCACACGCACACAAACTGGATCGATACGGGATGCTAGTGCCGTCAAGATCAAATCTCAAAACCTTGACAAACTCCTTTGTCTTTCTCTTATTATTGTTAGGGTTTTAGTTTGGTGGCTTAATAATTATATATGCATACACCCGACACATGCAAGCCCTAATAATCATCATTATGGGTAATGGGCTTTTAACAAATCACGTGGTGGATTCTAAATCCATTAAGGTGAGCACATATAATTTTCATTTATCATATAAATATAAAACACCAAAACCCCAACTTTAGTTTAATCTAATTAAACTAAACTATTACTTGATCCAATTTGCTTAGGTGTGTGACCCTGTAGGATCATATAATATTAGCAATGAATTCTCAATTCATAGATTATAAGC